TCATGTCCAAATCTTACCCCAAGATTCGTATATAGACATGGGTCAAAGTTTACTACCCCCATAACTCGGTCAAATCTCATCCGATTTTCATGAAGTTTGGCTTTTTCTTCATGGTTTTCCCTCTAGATTAATCTGGCATTCAAATCTGATCACCGATTTTTTAGTCGAAATTCATGTCCACATCTTACCCCAAGATTCGTATATAGACATGGGTCAAAGTTTACCACCCCCATAACTCGGTCAAATCTCATCCGATTTTCATTAAGTTTGGCTTTTTCTTCATGGTTTTCCCTCTAGATTAATCTGGCATTCAAATCTGAACACCGATTTTTTAGTCGAAATTCATGTCCAAATCTTACCCCAAGATTCGTATATAGACATGGGTCAAAATTTACCACCCCCATAACTCGGTCAAATCTCATCCGATTTTCATGAAGTTTGGCTTTTTCTTCATGGTTTTCCCTCTAGATTAATCTGGCATTCAAATCTTAACATCGATTTTTTATTCGAAATTCATGTCCAAATCTTACCCCAAGATTCGTATATAGACATGGGTCAAAGTTTACCACCCCCATAACTCGGTCAAATCTCATCCGATTTTCATGAAGTTTGGCTTTTTCTTCATGGTTTTCCCTCTAGATTAATCTGGCATTCAAATCTGAACACCGATTTTTAGTCGAAATTCATGTCCAAATCTTACCCCAAGATTCGTATATAGACATGGGTCAAAATTTACCACCCCCATAACTCGGTCAAATCTCATCCGATTTTCATGAAGTTTGGCTTTTTCTTCATGGTTTTCCCTCTAGATTAATCTAGCATTCAAATCTGAACACCGATTTTTTAGTCGAAATTTATGTCCAAATCTTACCCCAAGATTCGTATATAGACATGGGTCAAAAATTACCACCCCCATAACTCGGTCAAATATCATCCGATTTTCATAAAGTTTGGCTTTTTCTTCATGGTTTTCCCTCTAGATTAATCTGGCATTCAAATCTTAACATCGATTTTTTAGTCGAAATTCATGTCCAAATCTTACCCCAAGATTCGTATATAGACATGGGTCAAAAATTACCACCCCCATAACTCGGTCAAATATCATCCGATTTTCATAAAGTTTGGCTTTTTCTTCATGGTTTTCCCTCTAGATTAATCTGGCATTCAAATCTTAACATCGATTTTTTAGTCGAAATTCATGTCCAAATCTTACCCCAAGATTCGTATATAGGCATGTGTCAAAGTTTACAACCCCCATAACTCGGTCAAATCTCATCCGATTTTCATGAAGTTTGGCTTTTTCTTCATGGTTTTCCTTCTAGATCCATCTGGCATTCAAACTGAACACCTTTTTTTTGTCGAAATTTATGTCCAAATCTTACCCCAAGATTCGTATATAGACATGGGTAAACAATTACCACCCCCATAACTCGGTCAAATATCATCCGATTTTCATAAAGTTTGGCTTTTTCTTCATGGTTTTCCCTCTAGACTAATCTGGCATTCAAATCTTAACATCGATTTTTTGGTCGAAATTCATGTCCAAATCTTACCCCAAGATTCGTATATAGGCATGGGTCAAAGTTTACCACCCCCATAACTCGGTCAAATCTCATCCGATTTTCATTAAGTTTGGCTTTTTCTTCATGGTTTTCCCTCTAGATTAATCTGGCATTTAAATCTGAACACCGATTTTTTAGTCGAAATTCATGTCCAAATCTTACCCCAAGATTCGTATATAGACATGGGTCAAAGTTTACCACCCCCATAACTCGGTCAAATCTCATCCGATTTTCATGAAGTTTGGCTTTTTCTTCATGGTTTTCCCTCTAGATTAATCTAGCATTCAAATCTGACCACCGATTTTTTAGTCGAAATTTATGTCCAAATCTTACCCCAAGATTCGTATATAGACATGGGTCAAAAATTACCACCCCCATAACTCGGTCAAATATCATCCGATTTTCATAAAGTTTGGCTTTTTCTTCATGGGTTTCCCTCTAGATTAATCTGGCATTCAAATCTTAACATCGATTTTTTAGTCGAAATTCATGTCCAAATCTTACCCCAAGATTCGTATATAGACATGGGTCAAAATTTACAACCCCCATAACTCGGTCAAATCTCATCCGATTTTCATGAAGTTTGGCTTTTTCTTCATGGTTTTCCCTCTAGATCCATCTGGCATTCAAACTGAACACCTTTTTTTTAGTCGAAATTTATGTCCAAATCTTACCCCAAGATTCGTATATAGACATGGGTCAAAGTTTACCACCCCCATAACTCGGTCAAATATCATCCGATTTTCATAAAGTTTGGCTTTTTCTTCATGGGTTTCCCTCTAGATTAATCTGGCATTCAAATCTTAACATCGATTTTTTGGTCGAAATTCATGTCCAAATCTTACCCCAAGATTCGTATATAGACATGGGTCAAAAATTACCACCCCCATAACTCGGTCAAATATCATCCGATTTTCATAAAGTTTGCCTTTTTCTTCATGGTTTTCCCTCTAGATTAATCTGGCATTCAAATCTTAACACCGATTTTTAGTCGAAATTCATGTCCAAATCTTACCCCAAGATTCGTATATAGACATGGGTCAAAATTTACCACCCCCATAACTCGGTCAAATCTCATCCGATTTTCATGAAGTTTGGCTTTTTCTTCATGGTTTCCCCTCTAGATTAATCTGGCATTTAAATCTGAACACCGATTTTTTAGTCGAAATTCATGTCCAAATCTTACCCCAAGATTCGTATATAGACATGGGTCAAAGTTAACCACCCCTATAACTCGGTCAAATCTCATCCGATTTTCATGAAGTTTGGCTTTTTCTTCATGGTTTTCCCTCTAGATTAATCTGGCATTCAAATCTTAACATCGATTTTTTAGTCGAAATCTTACCCCAAGATTCGTATATAGACATGGGTCAAAATTTACCACCCCCATAACTCGGTCAAATCTCATCCGATTTTCATGAAGTTTGGCTTTTTCTTCATGGTTTTCCCTCTAGATTAATCTAGCATTCAAATCTGAACACCGATTTTTTAGTCGAAATTTATGTCCAAATCTTACCCCAAGATTCGTATATAGACATGGGTCAAAAATTACCACCCCCATAACTCGGTCAAATATCATCCGATTTTCATAAAGTTTGGCTTTTTCTTCATGGTTTTCCCTCTAGATTAATCTGGCATTCAAATCTTAACATCGATTTTTTAGTCGAAATTCATGTCCAAATCTTACCCCACGATTCGTATATAGGCATGGGTCAAAGTTTACCACCCCCATAACTCGGTCAAATCTCATCCGATTTTCATTAAGTTTGGCTTTTTCTTCATGGTTTTCCCTCTAGATTAATCTGGCATTCAAATCTGAACACCGATTTTTTAGTCGAAATTCATGTCTAAATCTTACCCCAAGAATCGTATATAGACATGGGTCAAAAATTACCACCCTCATAACTCGGTCAAATCTCATCCGATTTTCATGAAGTTTGGCTTTTTCTTCATGGTTTTCCCTCTAGATTAATCTGGCATTCAAATCTTAACATCGATTTTTTAGTCGAAATTCATGTCCAAATCTTACCCCAAGATTCGTATATAGACATGGGTCAAAATTTACCACCCCTATAACTCGGTCAACTCTCATCCGATTTTCATGAAGTTTGGCTTTTTCTTCATGGTTTTCCCTCTAGATTAATCTGGCATTTAAATCTGAACACCGATTTTTTAGTCGAAATTCATGTCCAAATCTTACCCCAAGATTCGTATATAGACATGGGTCAAAATTTACCACCCCTATAACTCGGTCAACTCTCATCCGATTTTCATGAAGTTTGGCTTTTTCTTCATGGTTTTCCCTCTAGATTAATCTAGCATTCAAATCTGAACACCGATTGTTTAGTCGAAATTTATGTCCAATCTTACCCCAAGATTCGTATATAGACATTGGTCAAAAATTACCACCCCCATAACTCGGTCAAATATCATCAGATTTTCATAAAGTTTGGCTTTTTCTTCATGGTTTTCCCTCTAGATTAATCTGGCATTTAAATCTGAACACCGATTTTTTAGTCGAAATTCATGTCCAAATCTTACCCCAAGATTCGTATATAGACATGGGTCAAAATTTACCACCCCCATAACTCGGTCAAATCTCATCCGATTTTCATGAAGTTTGGCTTTTTCTTCATGGTTTTCCCTCTAGATTAATCTGGCATTCAAATCTGAACACCGATTTTTTAGTCGAAATTCATGTCCAAATCTTACCCCAAGATTCGTATATAGACATGGGTCAAAATTTACCACCCCTATAACTCGGTCAAATCTCATCCGATTTTCATGAAGTTTGGCTTTTTCTTCATGGTTTTCCCTCTAGAATAATCTGGCATTCAAATCTGAACACCGATTTTTTGGTCGAAATTTATGTCCAAATCTTACCCCAAGATTCGTATATAGACATGGCTCAAAAATTACCACCCCCATAACTCGGTCAAATCTCATCCTGAAATATCTTATATAGACACAGACAGACACAGACAGGGCCATGCCGTTCGGATATATGGCATCTGAAATCTGGAATTAAAAAGTGGTGGGATAAGAAAAATGATTAGCACCACAACAACAGCAAAGCCACCAACTTCCGATTTTATGTTAGTAAATATATTTACCTTTGTTTTGTCGCTTAGTGTACATTTCGGTGTCAGCTGTTTAGTTATGTGCAAATTTAGTAAAGTATCGTGCGATTATTTGTGACGTTCGAACGATAGGCCGACACGTAATAAATAAAAGAGAACTATGTATGTATCAACCAAATAAATGATCTTCGTATACTGTGGTCCCAATAAACTAAAAAGTTACTTGCATTCTGTTCAGCCTTATTATTTTACATTATTATTTATTCTCACTGTCACTATTACTTTTGTATTAACATGCACAGTAACTAGTTACTTTTAAATACCTGATACAATTGGGGTGCTGAGTGCAAATTGCACATATCTAATCCAAGCCCTAAGAATAAGAACTTTAAAATATGATTTAAATACTTAATATTAAGCAGCAAAACAAAATATATAATGTTTCGCGCGTATTATAAAATTAGTTCAATCGAGTGCTTATCAACACACATACTTACTGCACAAGTACAATTTTTTCGGGTAAGATATTGGAAATTGTTATGCAACGTGCTGGTACTCAAAATAGTTGTACAATTCTTAGTTTTCGACAATCGCAAGATCTTCGGCGAGCACAAAATTACAGGATGCAAGAAACGTGCCATCATCTAATAACTCTGGTCACTCCAGCATATTAAATCAACAGAAATCAGAAAATGTAAAAATATCCGTAGAGAAATGTCCATGGATGCCGAGCCCATATTTAGATGACGACAAAGTTCTTAGTAAATATAAAAAACTTTCCAAGTTTCGCTTGACATGTAAGTTGATTTAAAATGTGTTTTTTAAAAAAAAAAACAAACTAATACATTTTCCCAACAGCATTAGTTGTCATAACGGCAATGGGCGGATATGCCATGGCACCGGCTGCATTTGATTTAACCACATTTGCAATGTGCACATTGGGAACAGGCTTGGTTTCAGCAGCGGCAAATGCCATCAACCAATATCATGAAGTTCCCTTTGACTCACAAATGTCGAGGACGAAAAACCGCGTGTTGGTAACTGGCCAAATAACTCCGCTCAAAGCGGTTAGTTTCGCAGTTGTATCAGCGACGTCAGGACTATGTTTGCTGTATTTTGGTGTCAACGGGTTAACAGCAGCATTGGGCGCCGGTAACCTGTTTCTTTACACCTCAATATATACGCCAATGAAGCGAATGAGTATTGCCAACACGTGGATAGGCTCAATTGTTGGGGCAATACCGCCACTGATGGGCTGGGCAGGTTGCACAGGAACTCTGGATGCGGGCGCAATGATTCTTGCCGGAATACTGTACGCGTGGCAGTTCCCCCATTTCAATGCCCTGTCGTGGAACCTGCGTCCGGATTATTCGCGAGCCGGCTATCGCATGATGGCTGTTACCAACCCGGGCCTTTGTCGTCGAACTGCATTACGTTATGCATTCGCGATTTGTGGACTGTCTCTGGTAGCTCCCCTTGCTGATGTTACTAATTATTGGTTTGCTTTGGAGACGTTGCCTTTAAATGCTTACTTTTGTTATCTAGGTAAGTGAATATTTATGGTAGAAATAAGTTGCTCATTTTAGATAGGAATAATCAGATTAGAAGAACAAATTACGAGCTTTCTCAGCTAATATGCTGTATAAGTTCGGCCTATTGATAAAACAAATACAATTTCAGATTGTGTCAGCTATGCTTTTACTATAATACTAATTAACAGAATATATAGTTTCGCCATAACTTTGGAAAATCAAACCAATTTATAAATGGCTTAAAAGAATTCTAAGCCAATAGTTGAAATGGGAAAGAAGAAAGGCAATACCCATAAAATTAAATGTACTTAATCTGTATATAAATTCTAGGAAAGGGGTCGAATTTTGTACGAAGGAATATAATTAATACATGTGTGTATATATGTATATATGTATGTATGTATGTATGTATGTATGTGTGTGTGTGTTAGTGTATGTATGCATATACAAATATATGTATGTATTCATACATCTTTGTTTTCTAATGCCAAACGCTGACCAAGCTTATTTGTCGCTGTGCTGCAAATTTAAATGCAACGAATTTCTGCCGAGTGCTCTCCTCCTCGATTCTCAAGAATTAAAGTAGGCTCTGCAGATTTTCATGCCTAGCCAGTGGTGTAGTGTTTTTTTTTTTTGTGTTTTTTTTTTTTTTGAGTGTATGTATGTACATTTATTTTTTTGTTTGTATACATGTACATTTGTGTGTTTGTGTATATATGTATGTATACACGTGTGTACATATGTATTTATGTATGCATGTATGTACATATGAATGTGTATACACATGTATGTACATATGTACACATGTACATATGTATGTATACATATATATGTGTGTATGTACATATGTATGCCTGTTTGCATATTTACATACAAACATGCATGCATATATGTAAATATGTACAAACATGCATGCATATATGTAAATATGTACAAACATGCATGCATATATGTAAATATGTACAAGCATGCATGCATATATGTAAATATGTACAAACATGCATGCATATATGTAAATATGTACAAGCATGCATGCATATATATGAAACATGCATGTATATTTGTATATGCATATTCATATGTATTTATATGTATGTATGTATGCATTCATGCATGCATGTAGGAATCTGAACATTCATACATGCATGCTTATTGGCATATAAACATAACAAACATGCATATATGTATTTAGAAACAAACGTCATTCACCAAATCTTTGACCCCGATATTCAGCAAGGTCGAATATACTTTGCGAAAAGTGTGGAACACCCCTCAAATGAATTTGAACCAAGATCTTTAAAAATGGGTTTGAGACCGATCAGATGGTAAACAATACATGCGGGTGGATTTTGCCGAAACTCCGTCTTAACGTGCACTTTCATAACATAATGTAACTACGATTTGGGCTCTGCGTTGATCGCCAATCAGTCAAGTCAAACAGTTTTATATATAGAGATAATCCTTTGATGTGACTAAAAGTTGCAATTCAAATTTAATTTATTGTGGGCCCATTTTACCTCATTTTTCTGCCTATACATTATCAACATGTTGATATTTACAAAAGTCTCAATCATTTTATCAAAAATAAATAATAAAAAAACGAGTGTACGAATAATGTATTTGTTCATGCTACTGTAAATTGTAACCTCTTATCGGCTAAATATTAAAATCGTTTGAATTATAGATTCCTATTACACTTCATGATAGTATAACTCCTGTAGTATCTATAACACTCTTTGTCTTAATTGAAGCCAGCCAAGTTCCTGCGTTAATTGGTACTGTTGTGATTTATTTTGGCCAGGTCCCGAAATCAATTTAAAAAAATCCTTTTTGATATTCTAACGTGCACCTTTCGCACAGTCAAACTTTAACAAATACAAGTGCTCCAATCTGCGAAACTAGCGTAACAGATTAAAAATGATTTCGCAGCTATTTTGAATAAAAAACAAGGATGTTCTTAAACTAGTTTCTTAAAAACTTATTTAGTTAATAGCTCATAGAATAAAATCTTAATAGAGTATAATTAAGAATCTATCGTTTTTTAATTTCAGCTTATAAATTTAACTCCAAATCTGACAGTGGAAGCTCCCGAAAGTTGTTCAGATTTTCATTAATACATTTACCTGCCCTCATGCTACTGTTCCTGGCCAACAAAAAAAATTGGTATTTTAAGGATAATGTGGAAGAAAAGCACGTGAAAAGTGATGACTCTTATGTGTCCCGCTTTACTACCTCGCCATCAGGCAGCCTGGAAAATGTAATACCACTGAAGGTAACAGTTGGTTCAAGTTGATCTTTGATGCACCAACTTTATTGTAATTCCTTTAGATGTAATTAGAATATATTTATTCTAACTTAATAAACAAAACTTTAAATTAAAAACTTGTGGTCAATATGTGCTCGTAATTATTAGTTACTTAAGTTTTCTAATAGTTTGTTTATGAATGGGTAATTTCTTTTATAGTTGCCAATGTTTCGAATTATTGAAGTTAAGTAAGGGCAAGGAGCCCTCTTAGCATAAGTTTGAATATATGCGCCAGCTGCAACCGTGCGTTGACGATCAGTTGCTGAACAGCGTCCTTGAGAGCGCATCTTTACCTCGGCGGCAAAGAGCGATAGTTCCGAGGCGGAGTTGCGAAAGCTCGGGGCGAAGTTTATCTGCCGAGGAAAGCGCACGGCTCGACAAAGGAATGGCAGTCAGTGCGGCGGGGCCTTTGTGTAGGAAAAAGAATGAAATGTGATAAATGTAATCAAGATAACGGAGTCGGCGAACTCTTCTTATTTCCCATTACCACTAATTCTCGGACATCGTTGGAAGCCGGCGTTAAACATAACGCTCTCTCATACTTAAAGTGTGGTGTCTGTGAACAATCCCGTCATTTAGTGTTCAAGCGTCTAGACAACCTCTCGCAGATATCGCCCGCGATATACATAGAGCGCTGAGGGTAGGGTAGGGTAACTATAGCGACGACTTGACATATTGTTGTCAATTTATTTTTAAAATTTATATTTTTGATGCTTTCTTCACTAAACTCTATGGCTGCCATTTTAAAAATGTTAGATTTTGCAAATGTGCACAGTACTTTCACATCTTCAACAGATTTCATTCGTTCCCCTAAGGGAAATGGATTCAGTGTGAATTGGCTATAACCACTAGCCTTGCTTTATATAGATGCTGTTTTTGTTTTTGGGCTGCAAGGAATAATAATTAAATTAATTGATTTTAAATATAGTAAATTAAAAATATGAACAGTGCATAGTTAAGTTTTCTATGTGCTTAGAAACATAAATGAATTAATAAATAAATCTGTGAGCCAAGTTCCAAAAATCGGAACCAAGTTCCAAAAATCGAAACGCTGCTAACTTGACGCACGTTTTCAATTACACATCTCTAATAAATAGTAAATATTTATTCTCAAACAATGAAGTCTGGAAAATTAAAAAGAAATTTTTGGCTCACTGCCGAAATCGAATGCATGCTTAATTTAATAAATGAAGTGAGACTGTCACAAGGATCGGCACACACTGCAACAACGCACAATACTTTTACACAAATTGCTAGCAAAATGAAAAGGCACGGATTTCCCAACAAATCGCCAACTCAAGTGCGCAGAAAATGGTTTCAAATGAAATCGGCATATCTTTGCTATAAAAAAGGCAATGTGGATCGTCTATTTTTGATACCGGAGAAATTTCGTAGTGTAATTGCACAATTTGTAGAAAATGGTAGTAAAATGCGACGTGCTTCCACGACCACACAACCGACTACTGAACGCAAGCCCCAGCCACAACGTAAATAACATTTTAATTAATTGAAAGTGGAAAGTAAAAATATTATTTTTTGTTTATTCCAGTAGTTAAACCAAAGTCAGCTGTCAGCACATTTTTGGCTCTTCTAAAGCAGAATAACAATTTATTGAATGTGGAATTCAACACATTGGAAGCGTCGCTTTTGAGCTATGAGCAAAGGTGCCAAGCAATGCGAGATTACAACATAATGAAATACATGACTTCCTGAGTTATTCGTATGTTGTGCCAATAAATTGTTCTTCATATAATATAATGGCAACACAATTGTGGCTACTTTTCTAACGAACTGAAAGGCGGAATATAGTGGACGTGTTCGACGTTTATTAGCTTTTAAGAATTGGCTAGGCCGCAGCTGACAAAACGTGAGGGATCTGATAAGGGGGGGGATGCCTTTGCACAGAGCTGGACTCCATCCGGACCGACGACTCTTGAGCTGCATCTGCATTCCAGCTACATTCCAGTCCCTGACCATAATATTGAATATTGCTAAGATTCATTCATATTCATATTGAGAATATTGAAATATTCCACACATCTGATATCAGCAAAAATATTGAAACTTTTCGTTTTTGGTTTTATAAAATAGTTTAATGTTTTGTTCGTACATTAACAAGCACAGATCATAACATACAATTAAGGTGTACATCGAGCATTTACAAATTAATTGGTTCGTAAATATGTTAATACATAAACATTTGACAAAACGATTGCGTATTATTAACTAATTTAATATGCGAAATAAATACATATTTTACTTTGACGTCTTTTTTACTTGAATACCATTGAAATCAACAATATATATGCGAATGGTAAACTTTGATATTTTTTAACCAATTTAAAATGTTATCTATATTATTACGTTAACTATATCAATTAATTGATTTATACGATCAACAATGTATATACCAAATATGAAGTTCAATTAGTAGATTTATGATATAAAAATCGGTACAGTCGATTGTTCCGCTCTGCTTTTTAAGGTGCTCTTCAGCAAAAAACATTTAGTCATATCGAGAACATATATTATTATATATATGTATGAATACAAACAAGAAAATATCATGTAAATACTCTGAAGAATATCACTGCATTAATGTTGCCTAGTGTATTGGTACATATTATCGTATTACTTCGATGTGTCTTTTTCATTTAATCTCTGGTGCGTTTCTCCTACGGAATTCCAGATGGATCGCTTAAGGCAGGCACATGGTGCTGTTTCTGTTGCTGTTGGTGAATGAGATTAACGCGCGCTCTCTGCTGCTCGAGTCGCTGAACATTAGCGGTCAAATGCGAATTCTCCACATACAAATCCTTCACAAGAATATCGGCGTTCTGAAGACGCTGCGTCTGATCGGCAATCAGGACAGCCTGTGCTTCAATACGACCGTGCAACTCGTTGAGATCCACTTGATGCTGTCGCCAGGATTCTATTAAATATATGGCAATGAATCAGTCAATGGTAATAATTGCTTGTTACGCTTACGCTGCATCAGAGTCTCGGTATATTTCTGCTGTTGCTTAACCACATTCTGTAAATGACGATTCCGCAGCTCAAGCTGATTAAGTCGCTGCTGAAGCGTCGGATGTGTTGTTCGCTGTTTAAAAAAAAAGGAGCAGAATAAATAAAAGATAATGCCTTATTATCAACGATCTTACCGCATATGCTTTCTGAAGAACTGGGCGTGCTTCCTGCAACTGTTGCAGTTCCATGACCAAACCGTCACGTTGCAGGCTCAGATCCTTGATCTGCTCCTTGAGTGAAAGCTCGAAGAACTTAAGACGTTTCAGTTCCTCCTTCAGAGCACTTGGGCTACTGCACTTTTCATGACTGAAGCAAGACGCTTTGCTGGTGGACACAACGCTGTGCGAATCAAAGCTCTTGTTCGATGCAGTTGATGAGGTCTCACTATCCGCGATTTCGCCTTCCGACGAGCATTTGGGCTTGCAAATGGGCGCCGGCGCACAAACACTCGTTGACGAAGTATATTTTGTATCACTGTTTGTGGGTGATTGGCCCGATGATAAAGTGCCTCGAGGCGTGGTACTAAATATTGATGTCGTCGAAGTTGTAAGATTGTTTCTAAAAAAAAAAAAAAAATGGATTTATTTAGTGTATAACAATTGGTAAGGTAATGACAGAGAACTAAAACTAAAGCGGGCAACAGTACACAGAATCACGAAAGCTCCTTGATTAAGGACTTTAAATATATGGTCGTGTATACCCAGATAAAAAACTTCTTAACTCTTACGATCAAGCTAAAAACTAGTTATTTTTAAAGTCCGGAGCCTAATCTAAAAGGGCTTTTTGATTGCTTTTGATGAATGATTGCAATTTGAATGAAGTCTATTTCATTCGACTATTTGAACAATTCGTTAATTAGCTTATGAATTTTCGTCTGCTTAAAGAAAATTTAAATAAATCTACAATCTCGCTTGTGAAGATCGGCCTTGAGTTGAGTAATAATTTAATAACCCTATAAATGTGTAGACCAGTAAGTTCTCAGACCATCAAACGAAACTACAGCCGGACAATTTTTGGCATTTAACAGATGCACAAACAAAGAAACGAACCCATTGAAAATGGGTAAAACAGGCAGAAGGTATCATTTGCGACCCCATAAAGTGTATATATATATCTTGATCAGCATCAATAGCCGATCTCTGAACCTAGTCGATTAAAATCCAATAAATGGGAGTACCCTCCAAACTAATTATAGGATGTTGATATTTCAGATTTGTCACGCACCCATTGAACGTTTTCAAAATAGTTTGACTTGTCTATCCCTAAGCCTTGGAAGACATACAATATCTAATATATTTCTAAAGTTTCAAGTATCTGACATCCTTCAACAGGATGGAAAAAAAAACGGAGACAAAACAAACAAAAATTCTTTTTAATTTTATTATCAAGTATTAAAACTGTTAAAATAGTGCTTCTAGCTTTTATAATATCTGAAAATCAAGCTTATACAGACCTAGGATATAATTAAATTCAGATCGTCGGCCTGATTATATTAAATTATTGGGTTGGAGTTAACCCCATCTGCCTTTGACAATTTGTTTTAGACCATTTACCTATTTTCTGAACACAAACTAAAGTAAATTGCTGTTGTAAATAAATATGCCTTTAACTTTGCTGAAGAATTGAAATTCTAAAAAATATATTTGGCAAATCAATCGAACCTAATTAAAAACTACAAATAGGTGTAACTCTAATGATACAGAAAAAAAGAACTATTAATTGACTTTTATTATGTTGATAATAAAATATTAAACTAGCTTAATATGAATTTGACAAAAGATTGAATCGAGGTGTTATCTAATTTATTTAACGTGCGAAAAGCACATCCACACATCCACTCATCCACTTATTAGCTAAATAATAATATTTAAATAAGATAAGAATTATAAGGACGCGGCACATAAACACATATACATAGAAAAGCAGGACTCGCAAGAGCCGCGCTGTACTTACCGGCTGGTTAATTTGCGGTTAGGGGACTCGCACAGGAGTGTCAAGACCTTGGGAGTGCTCTCCCCGTCAGCAGCATCGAACGATTTAAGAGGTTCCTGGATTGTGCTTTGGTGCCACAGGTAGCTGATGGGCGAACTGGCTGGCCTTTGACTAGACTGTGCAGTTATCTGATCGAGTACGTCCGGATTGAGCTCACATGCGCCAGTTAATATTTCTACGCTCTCGCCTAGGCGTGTACGCAAGTCTTCCACCTCACACTGTAATGCGTTTATTTGGAGAGACTTTTCTTCTAGCATGCGAATTGAGTTATTCCGCAGATTCGTGGCCTCCGCTTCGAGCTCAACGTATTGCTGTTCTAGCATATCGCGCTCATCAATTGGCGACAGCCGGCCATCTTTGCTAAACTGTTCCTCATATTCGCGCACCTTTTCCATCAACTCGGTGAACTTTTTATCGCTTTCCAGCTGCTCATCTTCATATAGGTGGCGCTCCTTATCAAACATTTGCCGTTCCTCGCTTAGTTTGGTTTGCCAGTAATCCTCGCAATCCTCGTAAGCGCGCTGCATTTGCTCCAAACTGTTTTCAAGCTCCTTGCAGCGTGTCTCCGGCGTGGTGGCACGACTATTGCTATCGCTTTTAGCAGTGTCGGCAGCCTTTGAGGTTGCCGCCTGTAGCTTTAGTTCCAACTGCTCGACGGTCAGCCGCAGAGCAGCAAGCTCCTCCTCGTGACTTTTACAGCATTGCAGTTCAGAGTTAAGCGCCAACCAATCGCTGCTGTTGTCACTGGACTCGCCTACTTCCGAGCACTTGCGCTGTTTTCCCAGCCGCGGACTTTCGCCAAGTACGTGCGTCTTGCTGGGCGAATCGCCTCGTCGCTTGGTGGCCAATCCGACGCTAACAGCCTCCAGTTCTTCACATTCGGCAGAGTCCCCAGCTGAGGCAATCACACCAACAGTTGCAGCATCCTTTTTTCTTGACTTTGTACGAGCCAGATCAACGTACAAGTTCTCAATTTCCATTGTTAGCTCATCGGTTTTGTCACGTAATTGTGCGTTCTCCGTTTTCAATGCTGCCATTTGCTCCATAACGACCAAAATCTCATCATCCTCTGAAGTCTTATCTCTGCCGTTGGCAGCATGTTCGCTGTTCTCCAATTTAATAACTGGCTCACACTTAGCCAGCTCCTGATTCAGCTTAATGTTCTGCTCCAGTACCTCAGTCATTTGCAGGTGGACCTTCTGCTGTTCCATCTCGAGTTCAGTATTTTCAGCGCGCACCAGCTCTAGCTCAGTCTTCAGCTTGATCTCCTCTTGCTCGAGGTTTCTAATCTGGGCTTCTAATCTCGCAGTCATGCTGGTCCAATGGTCGCGATCGCTTGAAATGCGCTGAGTTAAATCGCGCACCATACTTGCGTGTCTCTGCTCCAGTTGGTGGACTTCCTGCTTGCAGTTGTCCTCTAAAATTGCATGCCTTTCATCCACCTCGGCGGCCAACATCGCCACTCGCTGATTGGCTGCCTTATTATCAGATCGCAGCTTAAGATTTTCCTCATGCTGTTGACGGTATGCCTGTCGCAGCGATCCCAACTCTAAAGTTTGGAGCGCCACCAGAGCACGCAACACATTTGCATGTGGATCCAGCTCAAGTCCGCGTATCTCTTCTTCAAGGACTTTGGTCAGCTGCTGTAGGTTCACCTCCTCCTCGTCGAAGCCCAGAGCGTGCAACAGGCCTACACTATTAACTATATTTGCCATTTCCCAGGTGTCAACGATAACTTGCGCGCT